GGGCTGGGGGCACGGCACGCGTCCTCTGCGCGGCGAGGAGCCAGGTGAGGGGCTCTGCTGGGATGGAGGGCAATGCTAGCTGGCCAGCAGCAGTCAGGGTCAGCATGGGGGAGCAGCCAGATGCTGGAGACGCCCTGCAGCCCATGGCAGACAGGGAGAGTTTAGGCAGCGAATTAGGTAGGAGCATGGATGGGTCCTCCAGGTGGTGGGGCCAGGGGACCCCCACTCTACTCACCCAGCACAGCCTTGCTGGGAAGGGGTTAACACCGGCACAGGATCCCACTCTGGCCCTGCTCCCTTCCGATGCAGCAGCCCTGCCTCTCCTGGCTTTTCCTCCTTCCCTGACATTGTGTCCGGGTGCAGGCGTGGGGCACGGGCTCAACTGGGCTGTGGCATCTCCAGATGCTGGGAAGCACAGCTCCCCTGTGACCAGGGAACATGGGCACGCTGCCATGGAAGGTTCTGCTTGGCACCAGGGCTGGGAGGCAGGTAAGAGAAAGTGGGTGTCCTGCCTAGGCAGCCGGTGGGCACGAGGGAGCTGCTCCCAGGGTACTGCATCTCTGCTGCTCCAGGGCACAGGGCAGCTGCAGCCCCACCGGAGCCATCGCCATGGGGCAGCTGGCGCTGGTGTCACACAGAGCTGCCTGGGCTCTATCCCAGCCCTGATCCCACGTCCGGTGTTTTCCAGTGTTTCATTTTTTCCGCAGTGTGTAATAGCCACCCGCTCGCCCCCACAGCTGAGCCGGGGGGGGGTCCTTCGCCCCACAGGACGCTGGGGCTGGCAGGACCGTGGGCAATACTGCAGGGAGCCAAGCCTGGGGCTCCTCCTGGTGCTCCTGCCTGCCCCGTGACCAGAATCCTTAACAGAGGTGCTGAGTGCTCCCTGGTTCAGGTCCCACTTGCCCAGGAAGGGTTAACCTACGTTCAGCCAGGCCCCAGCGGAAGGGAGGGACATGGGGAGCAGCAGATGGTAAATTTAGTAACCCCGGAGCATCCCGGGCTATGACGGTGGACTGAGCACTGGGTGACGGAAATTGATCCTCCCCTGGCTGCCTCCTGCCCACGCAGAGAATGCAAATGGGTGGCTGCTCTGGCAGGAAGCAGTGCTGGAACCTGGTGTGGGCATGTGTGCCAGCTGGGCAGGGCATGAGCAAGAACACGGCATGGGCAGGGACACTGCACGCTCAGTTGGGCTGGTGCACCTTGAGGCACTGCTGTGTCTGGCAGGACCAAAGGTGTGGCCCCAGATGCTAGGGATAGGCACGTGTGGGCATGCTGGGGCTTTCCACAGGGAAGGCAGATGTTGCTGGGCACAGCTGGATGCTGTGCTTGTGTGTCCTTCTCCCCCAGCAGCCAGCAGGGTCTGGCTGCCCATCGCTCTTAGTTTTGAGGTTGTGTGTTTTACAAAGCTGAGCTGGCTCCTTTTGGCACCATGTACTATCCTGACTGTTGAGGATATCCCTGTGTGGCCAGGGATGTGTACCTCACTGGGTGGGGATGCTCAGGCTGCCCACAGGGATGTGCAAGACGGACTTAGCGGAGCCCAGAGTTATCACCTGTGATAATGTCCTCTGTTTCTCCTGGCAGCAGTCTGTGCCTGAGAGCACCCAGTGTCCTCGAGTGGGCATCATGGAGGCGCCTGGCAGGATCCCAGCCAGCCCTACCCACAGAGTCCAGACCATCATCCAGGTGAGCACCCTAGGGCCTCTGCCATGCAGGAGCTTGTGTGTCCAACCGGGAGCCCTTCTCCTCTGCAGCCTGCCCTGCCACAGATGGCTGCGCTGCCCTCTGGCTTCTCCTCGCCCTAATCCTATTATGGGATCGGTGGCAAAGCCAATTGAGTTGAGAGGCTGGCAGCTCCGATCCTCTTAGGGACAGCCAGAGCCCCAGGGATCTTCTTATGGAGCCCTCAGCTCCTGTATCCCACTGCTGGACTGTCCTGTCTGGGCATTGGTCCCTGCCTTCTGAGCAGCTGGAGCTGAGTGGGCTGCACAGGGGTGCAGACTGCAGCTGCAGAGGCCACCAGCATCCCCTCCTCTCCCCTGCAGAACAGCCCCCTGGACCTGATTGACACAGGAAAGGGGCTGAAGGTCCAGACAGAAAAACCACACTTGGTGAGCCTGGGCAGCGGCCGGCTCAGCACCGCCGTCACCCTCCTGCCCCTGGAGGAAGGAAAGTGCCAGCTGCGGGGGGTCCCCACGGGCATGCCAGTAGAGGGGACACTGAGCCACTCATTCTGCCCACAGGGAGGACCACCATCGGCACGGCCGCAAAGGACATCGTCCTGCAGGGCCCCGGCCTGGCACCACAGCACTGCTACATCGAGAATGTGCGGGGGACACTGACCCTGCACCCCTGTGGCAACGCCTGCGCTATCGATGGTGTGCTGCTCCGGCGGCCCGCGCGCCTCACCCAAGGTACGGGCAGGAGCAGGACCCGGTGCTGAGAGGCGGGGTCATGCCGTTGCGTGTCGGGGTGTTTGTGGATCCATTCTGCCATGGCACCTCCCCTCTGGGATGCTCCTACATCCTTCGTGCAGGATGGGGATGTGCTGGGTGCCGACACCGTTTGGGAACCGGTTCTGCCGCGTGCCCGGGGGCTGTGCAGCGCGTGAGGTCGGACGGGCGAGGGCAGCTTCTTGGCTGCCTTTGTCGCCGGGGTCACCCCCCATTTCACTAGTGATGCTGAGCCGGGTTTAGGAAAGGGAGATGAAGGAAGAACACGTGGGGGCCCGGGGCACGGGTCCGGCGACCCGCCTGTGTGTGTAGGTTGCCGGGCGGGCTTCGCCACGATGTGC